CGCGTAACGGGTTGTGTTTACGCCGTTCCTGCAGCGCCATCTCCAGGGGTTGGGGTTCTCTTCCGCATCTCCAATCAGCATGGCGGACGTGCTCCACGATGGTGGCCGGCGTGAGGGTCTGAGGTTATTTAGGAAAAAACAAAGAAAAGCAAGAAGTGAATAATAATGAATATACAAATGCCAAAATTGGCGAATATATATAAATACCGATACCCATTTGTTTATCTAGGGATGTATATGTTTGTACTTAATAAAGCAACAAATCAATAAATCAATGAACAAAAAAATTTGTCAATGAGGAAAGGATAGAGGGGTATATTCATATCTAAATAGATATCTATATATTTTAATTATATAGATGTTTCTATACTCATATCTATATCGATACATGTATATATGTACATATACATCAATTGATGTTTATTTTTATATTTATGGTGATATGTATATTTCACCTTTTTTATTTGTGGCATTCCAGTTCAGTTGTGTCATTTATTCTTTTCCCGTGGATCTACACCTACTTTTTTAGGACGTATAGGCATTCCGTCTCGCATCCAGGGTTGCGTATGCACTGAAGCACCCCGTCGGACAAAAATTAGCAAGGGGTTTGCGAAGCCCATCTCAACTGAGCGTTGATTGCTATCTTCTTTGATCTCCTGAGGAGCCGCAACGCGTGATTCCGTTGCCCCTGCCACCCAACACAATGACAACTTTCAACGAACAGTTTGCAGGCACATTGTGCAGTTTTATTGAGGTGTAGTCCACATCCCTATTTTAGGAATGGACGCACGATGTACCTGTAGAGGATGATGAGGGTCCATAAAACGAGCCATGGGACAACATGTACTCCGGGACAATTGTCTGGCGTTGGCCAGAGGAGGTCTTGTGCCGACGGCATCACTGATTGATGGCCAGTGATTTTGGGGCTTCGATCTTTGGTGCTTTAAGGAATGGAACGGCGCTGGCTGACCAGGTGCCACTCGCTATCTGATCTGTCCTGGATGTGGCTTAAGAGACGGTGCGGCCGCGTGCAGAGGAGGGAAAGGAAATAGGACATTGTGTGGACATGCAAGTGGACGTGTCAGGGCGTCACAATATCCCTCAAGAAGTGTGGAACCCCCGAATTGATGATTCGACCATCCTGATAAAACTGTCTGGGCTGGAAGTGAGTGCGCTGACTTCCGTTTTACCGAAATTTCCTCCATCTGACAGACTGCGCAGCTGACGTGGAGGGACATCATGCGCACCTGATTCCGGCGGGTACGATGCCGTTTCCCACATTTGAGGGCGATTTTCCCGATGATGCACTCCGTCATCCTCATTTGTTTCCCTTAACAACACGACGCCTCGCGGGGTTGGTGCTGAGCGAAGAAAGCCCTCCGTCTCGGTTGGAACCAAAACGGAGAGTCCATGAAGAGGCATGCTGCTCGCGACTGGTTGATCCTTGACCTGTGACGAGTCTGTTTGCCGCCGTGGAGCATCACATTCGCTTGATTGCAGCGCCCTCTACAAATTGCACAGTTCTTGTGCTCCTGAGTAATGCCGATAAGGGCGGATTGCATGGTGGTGTTTTATTGCTGGAAGGCAACTGTGAGGAGGAAAAATATTATTTGTTTTTCTTTGTTCCTGAACGAGACGAATCCGTTCTTTGGTTCAAGTACGAATGTCTTGTCGCAGTTCTGGTTGGCCGCTGGTGGCTTTGGTGTTTGTTCCAATCAATGGCTCTCACTGGCGGTTCCACGGCCTAATACCGACTGGTGCCGTCGTTTTTGGCCAACGTTGCTTGGCCCATCAATTGTTTGCACAACTGGACAACAAAGTTTTCTGTTGGCGTGGATCATGTTTTGCAGAATATGATCACAACAGCTGTTGAGCGGGATGGTGGTTGTTGCGTCCTGTATGACTATGGCAATGTTCTTGCGGATTTCACTCTGTTGCGTGTAAATGATGTCACATCTGTGCCCCTTTGTGTGGCAGAGGCCTGAACCAACGGAGGACAGAGTGTTGTGATGAAACACAGCACAGAGAACCCTTATGTTGCTCATCGTTGTGCTTGTTTTCACTGCGAGCTTCGACGTGGGAACATTTTATTTTGTGCGGTATGGAGAGCACTCATCCGGTGGCATATCGCCGTGTGGTGGTCTCCGGTTCAAAGGACCCTGTGGAATACTTTGTGGGGGCGAAGGGTGAAGGCAGGACTGTCGTGCCCGCACCGACGGAGACGAAAACAGGGTGTTTGATGTGCCCTTTAACATTGCGCTCCCAATTGCGTCATTGGATGCGTGCAGAGCAGGTGGCTCTCCGGTGTCTGTTGGCTTCACGGCCAACCCGCTGGCCCCTTCTGAAGGACATTCAAGAGCATTCGTTCTCTGGGGGTGTTTC